TTTGTTTGTTTGTTTGTTTGTTTCAAGCACCATAAGACTCCTCAGTGATGTGTTTGTAAAGTAACTGACACGACTTTATTGTGCTCTTCTGCCAAGATTATTCTGTGAAGACTGGAGATACTGTGATGATGGAAGTTTGCTGCCAAGACTGCTACTTGAAGATCCAGAAGATTTCTTCTTTGCCTTCAGAGTGTGGGATGGATTTCAGTGACAGAGACGACACGCTGAGTTTGGGCAATGAGGCTGAATTATGTAATGCTCTGGCTGGACTTCAGACAAGCACCAAACAGGATGGCAGCTCTCCAGTGTGTGTGCTGGAATCCACAGAAATAGCCCTGCTGAATGACATAGCTTACCACGAATGCTTTAAAGCTGCCATGAGCAAAGTGCTGCTGTCATTAAATCCAAGCAAGGACTTGCACTCCATGGACGTTGATGGACATGGCAGCGGGATAAACCTCCAAGAGAATGAAAACATGAGCTCTGTAGGTGTGGATCCTGATGCTTTGTACGTTTTAGATGTATCTGAAGGCTTCTCCATCCTGCCAATTATAGCTGGCAAGCTTGGACCAGTTAGAGCCTACAGTTCTGTTGAGAAAGATCAGCATCAGGCAGCACTTCACGTCATTGCAGAAGTAAACAATTTCCCTAAAGAAACATTAGAGTTTTGGCTCAGCCACTTAGAAGAAGAAAGTGTGGTGCTACAGAGACCCAAATCAGACAAATTGTGGAGTATTATTATCTTGGATGTTATAGAGACATCAGGTTTAATCCAGCAGGAAGTGATGGAAAAGGCTGCAATATCCAGGTACAGTATAAAAGGACAAAAATATTCCTAGGAATCTGTAATTACCTGAAAAATTTTGAGAATATTCCTTGTAACTATGTAATTACTATTACTTCTTCTGTAGAAAAAGGGTTTTTTCTTTGGATTGAACCTCCCAGTGTTTCTGGCATGTTTTTTTTTTTTTAAAGCATCACGATTTCACCATCTCAGATTCTTTTTTTTTTTTTTTTAATGCAAGAATATGGATGATCATATTCCTTGGTCTGTCATAGGTTTGCAGGATAACAAAGACTAGCCAAGGTAGCTTTTAGTGCAGGTTTAGAAAAGCCCAGGTTTGTGTACATGTATGGTTGTCAGAACAACCTGGTCCTGCTAACAGACACCTGGCTGTTCTAACACCACACCCCGTGGTGTGAGAGCAGCCAGGGGGGCAGCAGCAAAGCTGCTGTGCCCCCCAGCAGGAGGAGTGGGAAGGCAGACAGAGGAGAAGTAAAATAATGGAAATGGGTAACTAAGTGTGAAATGGATTTATCCCCTTTTGTGGGCCTAGGGAAACCTTACTGTTAACCTTTGTTTAGTGATGGCACATTATGCCTAGGAACACTTAACTTCAGAGAGAGAACCAGTGTGCCTTTCTTAAATGCATTTACTGTTCTTTCATTACTGTTGATTGATCAGCTTTACAGGTGAAATCCCTCGTATTTTACAGGTGTTTACTTCACAGTGGAGGGAAGATTTTCCCACAGTATGTGTTGGTATATGGGATGCTTGTAGAATCAGAGTCTCTGTTGCTGGAGAGTGCTGTTCAAGGAACAGAACCAACCCTGGGGTTTAATATAGCCCCTTTCATCAACCAGTTCAAGGTAGGAAGCTGGTGGGTAGCTTCCAGGCATGGTTTCAAAGCTGCAGCTGTTTAGCTCTTTTAGATTTGGTGTGAACTATAAAAAATTGAAATTATCAAGAGAGGTTTTTGTGACCACACAGGGACCTTGAGATAAGGTAAAATGGGTGATGTTTGTTTTAGAACTGGCATGGAAGTTTTGTCCCTGTTACTGTACAGAAGAATGACTGTGTTGTTACTGTTCCCAGGCAACTGTATTCCAGTGTTTCAAAAGGGATTAGAGGGCTGTATTTTGCATTTTGTCTGTCTCTGATAGCCATTCCAGTAATTCCTGGCAACTTTAGGGTTATGATTAAGTTCACTACCTTTTCCCTTTGTAATGGCTGTTGCTGCCTGAAGTTCTGGTCTATACTTTCAGGTACCTGTTCGTGTGTATTTGGATCTCTCCACATTACCCTGTGTACCCTTGAGCAAGCCAGCAGAGCTTTTGAGGCTGGATCTCATGAACCCTCTGCTGAACAGCCCCAGCAGAGAAGTGAAGGTGAGTTCTGGGGCCCAGAGTGCATTTAACTACTCTCCTGCAGTGCTGCTTCTTAATTGCTCCTGTAGGCTAAACATTTCAACACAGGATTTATTTGTCCGCAGCTGTCTTGAAAAGGATTGAAATGGCTTGAACTACTTAGGTTTCAAAGAACAAAGTATAACTAATCATTGTTTTAAATATTTTTAGGTACAAATTTGTAAGTCTGGCCGGGTCACTGCCATTCCCTTCTGGTATCACATCCACCTAGATGAAGACCATAGCTTGAACACATCTGATGAGTCCTCACACTGGAAACAAGCTGCAGTTGTTCTGGATGAGCCCATCCCAGTTCAGGCTGGAGATGAGCTTGTACTTGATGTACAACACCATAAAAGCAATATCAGCATTACAGTTAAAAGGTGAAGAATGTCCTGTGTGATTTGTGCTTTATTACCTATGCATAAACTGAATGTTCAGAACAACACTGCTGTTACTTTGTATTAAAGTCTAAACTTTATTTACTGATCAAAAAGGGTGATTTGTTGCTGTAATAAAAGACACTTAGGTTCCACTGGTGGATTAAAATTTGCACTGTAAGGGTATCCTACCAAGCTAGAGGAGGTATTGTCTTCACTGCAGCACAGACTTGATTGCTGGCTCGTGTAGTGACTGCAGCAGTGGGACAGTGTTTTGCTACCAGGTCAGCTGTAGTGAGGGGAAAAAGCAGCTGGGTACCTGTACCAGCAACAAACAGCTGTGGCTGTTTGGGACAGAGTCCTTGTTTCTCAAACTGTGATTCAGCTCCTCAGTTGCCAGAGCCTCCTACATCAGTGTATTGAGATGTGACCCTTGTGGGAGGACTGAAGAGCATTCCAGCTGCAGTATCAGATCACAAATTAGTGCTGCACACAGAGCATTCTAAAAAGCTGTAAAGGAGGGCTGTTGGGTAACTCAGGCTATATAATGGAAGGTAAATCTGGTAAACTTTTTAGAATCCCACAGAGATTTTTTTCCTAGGGAATACAGTGGGAATTAACTTATCTGTAGAAAGTTGTATAAAATACATCAATCACTGCAGTGCTCCTGACACTCTTCTACAGCATTACATCTTGGTATAATGCAGGTAAGCAGTTCCTTCTACTAAATTTGTATACACATGGAAGACTATAAAAGCTTTGAACTCAGCACTGATTCTACCTCTGCAGAGAGGAGGAAGACTGTTACCAAGATTTTTCTCTAACTAAGCTTCTTTTTTACTGTGCATTTAATGGAGAAGAGGCAATTCCATGATCTTGCTTTAACAGCAGCCACTATAAAGAGCATCCAAAAATGATTCTTCTGTAAGTTCAGGGCCTGCTGAAGTCATTATATACTCTTCATTAGGTCAAACATTTCAGATAGTTTAACTTATTTCTATATATCAATTTATGTTCATTTCTGTAAAGTCTGCTCAGTTTAACTTCAGGGACTGTTAGAGCTGGAGTTGTTCCAGCCTCAGCTGAACCTGCACCTGAGAAATTACTGTAATAAAGCTGCTTTTGGAAGGGTGAAAGAAACATCTCCATTTTATTTTTTTCAAAAGTAGAGGCACAAAGTCATGTTTTCTGAAGATAATGTAACTGGATACCATCCTTCATCCAAGGGGTACAGTGTATAATGAAATGCAAGTGAGTTAGAGTAGGACAGAGGCTTTTGATACTACATAAAAACTAGTGTTTCTTAAACCTAAAACCATGATCCATAAAATTTTAAGTTAGTCTGACACAACTAAATCTGGCAGGTACGTGGTGACTTCACCAGAGTGCAGCTTTATAGAAAAGTGTTTAGATTTCTTGTGCAGGAACACCTCTGCTAAAAACAAAAACCTTACAGAGTAGGTTAGGTGTATTTATTAAGATTTTAGTAATTAAGATGAAAGCAAAATGATTTTGAGACAAATGAAGGACATTCTAGTCTCCTTGAGTAAGGCATGAGCAAGCCTCAAGACTTCTGATTAAAGAACTTGGGAGGAGATTTGGCATAAAACAACAGAGGAATAAATACAGTTAAGAGGAAAATGAACATTTGCAAATTAACTTTTTATGTAATTTTGATAGGTTTTGCTGTGGAATACTGTGGTAGTGGTTTTCAAAAGACAGGGAAGGTATCATTGCAAGATTTGTATTTATTTTTTAAATTCAGTAGCAGTCATTAGGGAAAGGTACAATCCTATAAGCTATGGCAATTAAAAAAATAACTTTTCTCCCAGAAAAAAACAAACAAGCAGGAATATTATGTTGTGCAAATAGAATAACTGAACAATAATAACTTAGTAGCTTTCAAGAAATACTCTGAAAGAAGTAACCAAGACACTTAAATAGCTGTTTTCCTATCAAGGTCCTCTCAACCTGTTTTACACCAAACAGACATAACTTCAAGTGTTAAAAAAAACCGCTTGAGAGTGAGGTTTTTGAAGAGCTAGAGTGCAGAAGTTACTCTGCTTGCAGCAGCCCTGCTCCTTCAGATATTACTCCTACCCCTGCCCCTTTTTACCTGTGTACATGTAGGAAATCAGGTTATTTCTGGTAGTGGCTGCACTGAGGTCCCAATGCACTGTGAACCTGTGCAAGTTGTTTCCTTTTAGAGCAAAGCTGGTACATGCAACCTGGGATCAAGCATGGATTAGAACATTCTGACTCTTCAGAAACCCAAACAAGAATTCCCTTTACAGTGCAAGCCATGAAGTACTGAAAGCACAAACTCTTGCAGTAATTCTACTTAAGATCCTCTTCCTTTATGAGGATGGTTGTAGTCATGTGTCATTCACACTGTTAAATTACTGTAATAGTAAATCAAAGTGATAGAAGATGAACAGTTTAAATAAAATCTTTAATTGCTTATTTACAACAAAGGCAATGAGTTGGCAAATTGAAAATCATGATTTACACTTTCTCACTAACTTCAGATACAGCAAGTACATACTCAGCTATAAAATATGCAGCCTAGTGAGTAAGGCGCAATATTTACATCACACTAGTACTGCAAAAAAAGCACTTAAGATGAATTTACTGACAGCCAGAAGTTAAACATTTATCCTGGAAATGCTAACAATGCTGAAAAAGAAACTTAAGCTTTTGTCATTTAAAAAGTAGTGCTCTACTGGTTTGGTTGTTTTTGTCAGATTGCAAACATGCAATAATAGTAAAAATCTGATAATGGGATAAAAACAATACCTCTCTGACATTGTCTGTTTTTGCAAAGTAACATTTTGATACAAGTGTACTGCTTCTTGGGCTGATATCTAGTCCTAGTAACTCCAGTATTAGACTACTACATAGTTTTACCTCAGCAAAGATCTTCTCTGGGGAGAAAAAATAGCTATTACATTTGAATCCAGTCTATACTAGAAGCATAATACAATCACACACAGACACAAATCTAAGAACAAAAATTACTACAGACACAAGATATCCTGCTTTAACAGCTTAAAAAAAACTTAAGTGTTAAAGAACTTACTGCAGCCCAAAATAAAGAAATCAGTTTTTTTTTTTACTTCCTGTTCAATATCCTTCATTCCTCCTCTATATATTTTAAGGTAAGTAACCATTATTCTTATTTTAGAAGCTAGGGAAAAGAATAGTCAAGGTAAAATATTAACCCAAAACCTACCATCCTGGCTGTCTCTTCTGGATATAAAAGACTTACATACTATGAGCCTCAAAGACAACAGATACACCAACCACATGATCTGGGCATGGACTTTGATAGCAAGGCCTGCAGGGAATGTTTTCTTTGTAGGGTTTCTTTACTAATGCTTGGTAGTAACTATCTTCATGAAGGGACTTTATTTAGCTATGCAGGAATGGAAAGAAGGTGGCATCTGTACAGAAGCTATCATTTCACCCACGTTCCATTCAGCACTGGGCATGGAAGTTAACCATCATTAAGACAAGCAAAGTTAACACAAACAGTTTTTACTACTGCTCTCCTTAAAATACATTCTTGAAATTAGGTTTTGCCATTGCTAGTAGTACTTGCACTTCATTTTTATATGAGCAGAGGATTTTTTTTAAATGTTTCTTTTGCACTAATGAAATTTAGAGTAATTTTGATATGATGTGGAAGCATTTAGCAGTTTAAGGAGATGATGCTTAAATTTATGCAGAAACCTTTACAGTGTGCGTGTTTCATATCCATGGGGTACTCACAGATGCTCACATCCATTATAGATTCTGGATTCCGATGTCAGTTACAGCCATACCATATCCTCTTCCTGTCCATGCAGCAGCTTTCCCAAGCTTTTCAACTTCCATCCTTAACAGTACATGTTAACAGGACGCATGTGGCAAGTATGTAATGATTCCTTGACACATTCAAAGAAAAGGCAAGTTTAACTTTTATCCAGAGCTTTCTCTGCTAAGTTGTTCTCTAGTTCAGGTGATTCCTCAGCATCCTGACTGGCAGAAGGGTTAAAAATCCCATCGACTGCAGGGGCTGTCGTCGGTGTTGTGAGAGGGGTCACAGTGTGTCCAAACCCCTGATAGTGACCCATGGGTGAAGATGGCATTGAAGAAGCATCAGAGATTGGGTCTTGAGTAGATGAAGACAGCAAACTTGTATGCTCATTTTGTTCATGATCCTCAGCAAAAAACATTTTCCTTGGCTGGCCCAAAACTGTCCTCCCTAGAATTATGCGAAATGAAAACATTTTTTAATCCTTCCAACACTAGTCTTTGAATAAATCAACTCTAAAACAGTCATGTTAAATTGGAAGATAAGTCTTTGTTTTGTATTAGTTTTACTTGGGCATTGTTAGTTTTAATAAAGTATGTCTTTCCATTTAAGAGGAAAACAACTTACCTGACCTTTGTAAAAGAAAAATTAAAAACTAGACTCTAAATAAGTCAGGAATTCTGGAAAGACAAAAGTGCCAGATAAACCATGAAATCCTCTAGGCATGCAGCTGCCACTGATTTGGTAATAGAATGTTCTCAGGCTACTATAAAGGTGGGCAATAGTGTGACATGAAGCTGGAAATATAGATGCTGATAGATTGTACAAATCCTGTCTGTTACTTACCCACATTTCGAACCTGTTCGGAGATATCTGCCCTTAGATCAGAAATATCCCACATTGCAAGGAAGGAGTCAAAGCATGAGCCTTCTTCAGCTTCTTGAACATAAGGTTTATAGGAAAAACTGTAGTGATGTGCAATAGCAGCCAGAAACATCTCCACACAAATGATAAAATCCTGCAATGACAGAGATACTCACTTAATCATTCATAACTGGAGAAAAAATAGTTCTGGGTTTCTTCTACAACTGAAAGGCTGCAATTGCCCTGGGATACTGACATCAGCTACTTTTCCACTAGGATACTCCTGGCAGCTTTCAGAGATCCATACTGTGGGAACTCAGTACATCACTCCGGA